ATACTCCTTGAATAGTCCTTGAATTTTAAGTGGTTACCTCAGCACTAACCCTGATTCTTGAAACAGCAGTCAGTTAAAAAATGATAATATACAGTAGCGTCTGGCCATGTAATGGACATATTGATAGGAACACCAAAAATTGGTTGCTTGAAATGGCCACTAGAGATAGGCTGTTAGTAGAGTTGTATAAATCCATGAAAAATATATATATATAAGGACAAAGTTTGATTAAGTAGAAAATAAAAAAATGGATGGATTATCAACATTGTTTCTTATAGTATCATATGTGTTAACTTTCCAGATTCTTGAGAATGCAGAAATCAACAACATTATCAAGATTATAGGTTTACAGTACAACAAAACCTACAACACAGAAGCTGATCTGAAGTCACTACGATATGGTCGCTTGATGATCATGACAGATCAGGACCAGGATGGCTCTCACATTAAAGGCCTCGTTATTAACTTCATTCATAGTAATTGGCCTAGTTTACTCAAACTGAATTTTCTAGAGCAGTTCATTACTCCAATTGTCAAGGTATATAACAATGTAGATATCAAAGCCGTAGTTCCTCTTTTGTTAAAATTATGAAAAAATTAACCAAAGTTTGAATTTGCAAAATACTGTGTTCCTTAGTACAAACTCATTTATTCAGAGTTAGCCTTGTGTTATGTTGAGCTATTCACAGATATCAGTGAATCTAACAATGCACAACCTCAGTAGTGTAAACCCTTTGAATTTCCATAAACCTTCAATAGAAAATGTGAATGTTCTACACAATGAAACCCTGCTATCTGATCTGAGAAAAAAAGTTAGCCAATCAGAATCAAGAAAAATTTGCATAACTGAGATGTTAAGTCTTGTTGAATTTCCAGGCTACCAAAATGAAAAATATAATGTCGCTAATAAGAATAATATAAGAGTTTTATATTTTTATTGCAATGGAGTAGAGGTTTTCAGGGGTTTCAATAGAAGGCTTAAACTTATCTTTTTATGTAATTGTAGGTTTCTAAAGCAAAGCAGGAACTCTCATTCTACAGCATCCCAGAGTTTGAAGAGTGGAAGGAAGCAACCCCTAACCATAAATCATGGAGGATAAAGTACTATAAGGGGTTGGGTACCAGCACACCTAAAGAAGCCAAGGAATACTTCCATGATATGCAGAGACACAGGATTGACTTTAATTATGAAGGGCCACATGATGATGAATCCATTGTCATGGTAAGATTGGTATATCAGGAATAATTATAATAATAAGAGTAAATGGTTTGAACCTAGGTGTTGAAGTTTGGTGTGAAATGTGAACATCCGGGTGAGTGTAGTCTTGAGAAAGACTGTTGTTGGTGGTGACTGATGTTTGGACAAGCTGTGCGAAAGTCAACTTCAGAGTCCAGTGAGAAAATGAGTGGACTGGAGTCACCAACAACAACAGTCTTTCTCAAGACTACACTCACCCGGACGATCACATTTCACACCAAAGATTATAATAATCTTGTGATAGACCTGAAAAACATTTTCTTTGGCCACTATAGTTCAGTGATTTTTCATTCTGGGTCTAGAAAGATTCTTGATAGTTAATTCATACTCTCAGAGGACTCCTCATGTTGGCAAAGTCTGTAGAGTTGAGTGGTTTTATGGCAGTCATGTAAATCATATTGGAAGCATAGCATGGTTCCTCTCTGGTTCTTTCTCGGTGTAACACTACTGAATAATGATCATGGTAGAAATTTGAAAATACTTTCTTTGTTACAATAAACAATATATAGTATATATTTTATTGCTGTGATCATTGGAAGAATATTTCAAAAGGTGTAAAAAATCTGGTTTTGCCAGCGAAATCTCATGGTAAAGCATGATAAAAACGATGGTTAGGGTTAGGGATGGGGTAGTCAATATAGCAATGTTTAGTGGTTTGAGTCTCTGCTTCTTCGTATAAGGTTTTTTTTAAAAGGTTGAGGAGTAGTGTTGTGTATCTCGTTCTAATATTTTATCGGAAATTTTCCGTCCCATCCTTAAATGCATTTTAAACTCATTTTAAGTCCCATCCTTGAACGCAATTAGTCAGCCATGAATCGGGGAGTAATTACGTCAAGAAAGAACCTCTTCTCCTAAAAGAGGATTACTTAGAAACCCCTTGAATGGGAAATCTTCGTATTTTTTTTATTAATTTCATGTATTATTACGTAATTAATCTTTACTTTTCTCTCTTCATATAAGGCATTCAGCAAGAAAAAAGTCCAAGAGAGAAAAGAATGGTTGACTCGTGGAATGGAAGAGAGAAAATGGAGAAGAGAACAAGGTTTATCAGAGGTAATATTTACAGTTAGTTCTGTTAGGAACTACAGCAGCTTGCCATTACTGTATAATTATATTATGTTATTGTGTTTGATCTTCCTTGTAGGTGTACTTGTATGAGAAAGAAACCAAAGTTGTCACCTATAGTGACTTTGTCAACAAGGAATTGATCCTGTTCTCTAACACAGACAACGAGAGATCCATCCCTTCTCTTGTTGATGGTGAGTTTAAAGATAGTGTATTATTGACTTTAGTATTAAAGATGATGGTTACAGTACAGTGCTTCCTAATCACATATGCAAAATGGTACAATTTGCTGTCACAACAGAACAGGGTTTTGGTTGAAGTCAATCAAACTGTTTCCATAATGTTGTCTAAAATCACAAACTTGTCAAGGTCATGTGCCATTGGAATGTCATGGAAAATACCTTGATTGATGTGTCTCCAAAACCTATTTCAAGATTATCATATGTAATTCTGTGTCCCATGGTGGTGAATATGGTGATACATGTAGAAAGTTATACTTAGTATTTTTTAAGAGAATTTAACAGGAACGTTAGTGAAATAATGCAATGTTTTTGAAGTATTATCTTGCTAATATTCATATTCAGGGCTTAAAATAGCAGTAAGTCACTTGTCAGGATGACTGACCAAATTAGTTTTAGCTCAGTCATACCTCGTTTGTGGCTCAACGTTACTGGTCAAAATGACTGGCAATGCAAAGATTTGACTGGACAAGTTCCAGTTCTTGTTGGACATTGTTTGATGTCTGGTACTAAGTTATTCTAAGTTTTTTTTTAACCCTCTGATATTAAATTGTATTTCAAGATGTTCTTGTATTAGGATTTTGAGGGAGAAGCCAGCCAAAAAGGCAGGCATTGACTATTCTACAACAAACTCTATCCTATGTTTTGTGTTGAAGGTTTAAAACCTGGACAGAGGAAGGTTTTGTTTACTTGTCTAAAGAGAAATGACAAAAGGGAGGTAAAGGTTGCCCAGCTGGCTGGTTCAATAGCAGAACTGTCAGCATACCATCATGGTGAGGTAAGAAAGAAAACTTAATAGACCAATCAATATACTCACGAGATTTTTGCTTATGCATGAGGAGCTTATGTGAATAACCCATGATAATATTACATAAAACTGAGTGAAGGTGTATCCAACAAAGATTGGATATGAAGGGTTGCAAAGTACAACATTTTTCATGTTAAAATAACATTCCTCTTTAACTCCGACGAAGGACTAGCGTCTGAAACGTCAGTTTTTTCATCTTTTCACAGTGTTATTATTTACCATTTTTCTCATTACTGTTTAAAATAACATTGTTATTTTTCCCATTACAGACTAGCTTAATGGGAACGATCATCAACTTGGCACAAAACTTTGTAGGCAGCAATAACATCAACCTTCTACAACCTGTGGGACAGTTTGGTACCCGCCTGCATGGTGGTAAAGATGCAGCTAGTCCTCGTTACATCTTCACCATGCTCAGCCCCCTTACTCGCTTGATGTTTCAAACCGGTGATGAACCAAGCTTGAAGTGGTTATATGATGATAATCAGAGAATTGAGCCAGAGTGGTACTGCCCTATCCTTCCTACGGTACTGGTTAATGGTGTAGAAGGAATTGGTACAGGCTATAGTACCAAGATTCCTAACTTTGATCCCAAGGAAATCGTGCAAAACCTGAAGAAGATGATTATTGGGCAAGAACCAGAAGAAATGGTAGAAACATCATTTTTCCTTTTTTTTTTTTTTTTTCCTAATTTTTTTCTTTAATTTTTTTTTWAAATCTTTTTTAATTATATTCTATTTATATCATTGAGCAGTTCTCATGTTTAAGATATTCCACAGATGTTTATTCTAAGTATTGTTTTACAGATGCCAAACTACAAGAATTTCATTGGCCAAATCATTCAGACTGAACCAACCAGGTTCGTGTCCAGAGGAAACATTGAAGTTATTGACAACCGAACTCTAGAGATAACAGAACTTCCAATACAGACTTGGACACAGACATACAAGGAGTCTGTTCTAGAGCCTATGCTGCATGGTACAGAGAAGATCCAGCCTTGTATTCTGTAAGTACATGTATCTTATGCACTTAAAAACTGACCTATGGGTGGGTTGGTAAAATACTGCTGGCCTCCATGATTACAGACTCATTTTGCCTAATTCTAGTGTCAAATTRTGTAAAGCTTTCGAAATTTTCTTGGATGTCCATGTAATTCAAGTATTTGTATTCGTAAGTAGTGTATTCCTTACTTCACCATATTTTGCTAGGGATTTTGCTCCTGTCCCTGATATCGAAGTGTCCCTAATATAGGGGTATCTACAAGGCAAGAGTTAAATGTAATTAAGTCTCTAAACAAAGAACGCAGCTGCATCTCCTACGTTGAAAGGCTAAGTCATAGAAAAATGTAATTTATTTTGTAGTGGCATTAGTTTGAATTCTTGTTGTGTTGTGTTGTGTGTCGTAGTGACTACAAGGAGTACCACACTGATACAAGTGTACGGTTTGTTATCACAATGGCTGAAGACAAACTAGCTGAAGCTGAACAGTTTGGCTTACACAAGAAGTTTAAACTGGAATCTAACATCAACACCAGTAATATGGTAAGAATAAAATATACTCTTTTTACAGTATACTATATCAGAAATACAATGAACACATGCTAACAATCTTTACAGTCAACTGTCATGTGGAGTCAGTAGGATGATGATGAGGATCAGAGAGTACAAGCCAGATATCCATAAAATAGCACTAAACACATCTATTTCTTTTGTTTCCAATTGTTTCATTGGTGCTATTTTGTACTAATGAGTTAGTACTATTTCACTGATATATGGTTTGCATTCTACCACCTTGCTGTAATGATGTGTAGGTCACATATTCACTTGTTTTCAATTGTTTCATTGGTGCTATTTTGTACTAATTAGTAAGTAATATTTCACTGATATATGGTTTGCACTCTACCACCTTGCTGTAGTGATGCAGGTTTCATCGGTGCTATTTTGTACTAATAAGTTAGTACTGTTTCACATTTATATCTTTTGCACTCTAATAAACTAGTTAATACAGGCAAGAAATAGTAGCAACTAATGAGGAAACTGTGACAGCCTAGCCAACAGTGAACTTGTATTGCTCAGAAATCTTTCCTGGCATTAGAAACTCATTGAGAATGCTATGGGGGGAGGAGGAGGGGTTTGATTTCCCAAGCAAAATAATCAACCAATTATTACTCTAGCAATTAATTAAGCAAGCAGACTGACCAGGATGGTGGTCCTTAATGCAAAGATGTGTTAGAAAAATTATTTGTTTACGATAGCATTTACCTTATGCGGTTCCCCTAGTTAGCTTAGATCAATCTCTGACCTTTTTCAATAAAAGCTCCTTCAGGTTGATGATGCAATAACTAAGTGCTTCCTGGAATTATTAAGCAAGTCCTTGCTTGAATTCCAGACAATCAACATGAATATTGATAACAGTTTTTTCACCCTCACAGGTTCTTTTCGATGCGTATGGTTGCCTGAAGAAGTACGAAAATGTTGGAATGATTTTGAAGGAATTCTTCACCCTCCGTCTACAGAGATATACCATGCGCAAGGCTTACCTTGAAGGGATGCTTCAGGCCGAGTCTGATAAACTCAATAACCAAGCTAGATTCATTCTAGAGAAGATTGAGGGGACTATTGTTATTGGTACGACATACCTTGAATCACTTACATATATACTTCTTCCAGTTACCTTTGGTATATTTTTCCTGACCCTTAAGTTGCACCAGTTCTAAGATCAGCTTATTTCCAGTTCTGCTAGGCAGCCAACCAGAAAAAAGTATATCACGCCGTTTAGAGAAAAAAAAACACTAGCGCGCACTTAAAGAAACAGAAAAGGCGCGAATGCTGTGTGCAGTTATAAAACACGCGGGGGTTGGCAGAACACTAGAGAAGTGTTAGGAGAAGCACGACGTGTAGCCAATCCCAAAGTGCTTTATGACTCCACACAATACAGCAAGCAAGTTTTTTTTTAAATATATAAAATACAAATTACGATAACTGTTATTTTTTGATACGAATTAAAAAGTGCGCGCGCGTGGTGTGTGTTCCCAACCAATCAGAACGTGAGATTTGTGAAGTTAGTTTATGTATTTTACTTATTTTAATTTTCTAGAAAACAAACCTAAGCGAGACTTGATAACAATGCTGGTCCAGAGAGGCTACAAGTCTGATCCTGTCAAAGCCTGGAAAGATGAAAACGAGAATATGAAGAACCAAGACTCCGATGACGACACTTCAAGTGTTGCTAGCTCCATGGCAAGTAATGCCGGACCAGACTTCAACTATCTGCTCAACATGACACTGTTGAGTCTATCACAGGAGAAGAAAGAAGAATTGCTTAGGCAGAGAGATGAAAAGGTATTAAACAAAACAAATCAAAAGGGATAAGGGGAAAATACTGTCTGTTAGTTAAGGATAGCTATTTTATTACAGTAGGGCAAGAAAGCATAAATAAGAGGGAAAATCCTTAATGTAGCACGCGCCTTGTAAATTCCCGGTTGGGCTATTTTTAGAAACCGGGTGCAGTTTAAATTTCACTTTACCCTACTCCTGTGCCTCTCTCGCTTTTAGTGACCAAAATAACAAACGGAAAGAGCGCGCGCGCTAGTTGACGTACAAGAGTGGGATAGTGCAAAATTTAAACTGCATCCGGTTTCTAAAAATAGCTCAACTAGGGATTTTCATGGCGCGCGCGATTAAGAAGTTTCCTTCTTATTTATGTTCTATTGAGTGGGGGGATAGCAGTGGCTATCTAAATCTAAAAATTCTGTGAAAATTGAATACTAAAACGTGTACTTCAAATAGTATTTTAGAAATGTCTGCCGAAAATTGATGATTAGCTATGTAAACCCGTGCACCCAAAATAATTGTTGACGTTTTTTATTCAGGCTGAAGAACTGAGAATCTTGCGCGGCAAAACTGAAAAGGACTTGTGGATGGAAGATCTTGATGCTTTCTTGGAAGAACTGGAGGTGATTATGTAGCACTATTATGTTTCCTTTTTGTCTACCCACCTCTCTTTTCAGTTTATTTTACCAAGTTGTTAACTGCTGCTGCATGATATGTGCCCCTGTTTTTTTAGCAGTATAGGGTGTGTTATCACCTTCATAATGGTCCTGTTACACTGTGCAGTTTTCTCAGCAACTTGTCTCGCAATGCTTGAAAATGTAGCGTTGCATGTTGCCGAGGTGAGTTGTCACACTGCAACACGATTTCAGCAACTTCCAACCTTTTTTTGGCTCTTCGGCAAGAAATGAGAATTGTGCGCGGGTGCTCTTGAAAAATATGCCTTAAAATTGCAAGGACAGTTGTTGGAGGGGTGATACGCTGTGCAATAGCTTTGCCAGTTGCTGCAGTCCGTTGCGAAAAGTAGAACTGAGTTCGTTCTACTTTGTGCAACGCTACGCGCAACAAAAATAAATTACGATACAACCCCTGTTACACTGCAATTTTCCTGTAACTTGTCCCGAAACGTCTCGCACAGTGCATGTAATAGGGCCTTAACATATACGTTCCATTCATCTTCTAGAAAGTGGAACAAGTTGAGCGCGAAGATGAGATGTATTCTGGCAAGTCCAAAACTGGTCGTGCTCTAAAAGCCAAGCCTGTTGCTAAAAAAGCTACCAAGATTAAGGCTGTAACTGTACCCAAAAAAGAGAAGCCAACCAAACAGGCTGCAAAGGAGGCATTGAACAAGGTTAAGGATGTGTGGAACTTGGATGACGAACCAGCAGAGAAGCCAATGATGACACTGGCTGATCGCCTGGCCTTAAAGAGATCTGAATCGACATCATCAGTATCAAGTGCTGCCTCTGAATCAAGTAGCTCGTCAAAGAAGCAAAGTACTTTGTCAGGGTATGTCAAGCATATGTCTTTACTATGGTTTTCCATATTCTGCAAACTCGGTAGTTGCGAGCTGCACGCTGAATTTTTTTTCTTCGCTGCCGTCAATCAAAATTAATCAGTCAGTACCTTTTATTATCTTGACTGGTGGCAGTAAAAAAAAATTTCACACCAAGCCGTTGAAATGTCTGAGTTCGCAGAATATTGAAAATCGCAGCAACCACCTTTACTATGACTATAAATGCGTACGAAACCGTGATGATGTCATGTCGGAGCTTTTCCTGATGAACGAATATATCTCAAACTGACTGATTTTAACGATGTCGTCGCTTCAGTTCTGTATTTGTATTTTTGCCATGCAAAAATCTACTCTACTACTGATTTTACAGACGGAACTTTTAATTCGACTTGTTTTTGTTCCACAGTTTTGTAAGTAAACAATCAGGCAGCAAGAAGCCTGCTAGCAGCAAGACTACCTCCAGTGATGATGATGATGCGTTCATCGTAGACTTCTCGGACAGTGAGGATGACAAGCCATCACGTGCCACAAGAAAAGCTGCTCCAACCAAGGTAATCAGCCTTTTTTCCTTGCGCACCTCTCTTGTTTTGCGTGCTCTGGTTGACTAGCTTTGTAAGGACAACACATCTTCAAGATAACTGCACGAGTAATAAAGATACCAATATTTTCCCCCACAAGATGCGTTTAAACAGTCCCTCAATAATTTTATGGGAAACGAGTGCTCAAAGTCTCCGCGCTATTTCTATCGTAGATTCCTATGGTTGATGATGATGATGATGATGATGATTCGGATGAAGACTTCACCATTGGCAAGCAAGCCAGGAAAAACGGACAGTCCAAGAGACCCACTATTCTGGACGACAGTGATGAAGAGTCGGTTAAGAGTGATATCAAAGCTACTAGAGACTTGATTCAGAAACTATCCCCTGTCAAACAGGCCAAGGTTAGAAAATATCCCGCTCTTACTGTGCCTCGTGGACAAACTTATCGCTTTCGGGAAGGGGATTGACTAGTTGAAATATCGAGTCCACCCTTTCATTTATCGACGTATCATATTAGACTTGCACTCGTTGGCGGAAGTTTCTACATCAATCGTTATCCCCATTGCTTCATGATAGCTCCAGCACTTGATCTAATAAAATGATCTAATAAAATGTTGATTTTTTAGAAGGTCCAAGAGGAAGCGCCCTCAGTACTTAATGAGTCTGATGATGCTTCTAGTTCATCATCATCTGGTATATTGGTTATTGAGGGACGTTCAAGTCCCGTCAAGCCCAAAAAGGCAACAGCCAAGAAAGCTCCCGCTAAAGGGAAGAAGGGATCTAAGGTTGATTCCAACCAATCTACCATCATGGAAGCCATGAAAAAAACTACAAAGGTAACGATCTTTGTTTGAAGTATCAATCACTAGTCTCCATGACGATCGTCTTATTACTGACGTCGAAGTATAGTAGAACGTATTTTATAAATCACCTTTTCTAAATCTTTTAAACCACAACTCTTGATAGACAAAATCAGCTCCTAAAGCCAAGAGTAGCTCATCCAAGAGCAACGACTCTGACGAAGAATTGGGATCCCTGCTTGTTAAAAAGAACAAAGAGAAGGCACCGTCAAAGAAGAGTACTGCTTCGCGCAAACGACCAGTGTCTAAAACTACTTCTAAGACCGTTCATGATTCAGACAGTGATGCTTCTGTAGAATGTGTTGGTGCTAAAAAGACAGCTAAAAAGACCAAGACCAAAACAAAGGTAATCAGGATGTTTGGGTCATGTACTGCACGCGTGCGTTTATTATATTAATAAGCAAGACCAAGAGAGCATAAATAAGATAGGGAAACTTCTTAGCGCGCGCGCCATGTAAATTTCCGGTTGGAAATATTAAGAAAATTCCCTCTCTTACTTATGCTCTCTTGGCAAGACTTAGTGTATTTTTATCGTAGGAAAAACCACGTGAAGTATTCCATAATGAATACCTAGCTAATCTGTACATCTGTTGTCTTTACTTTTCCTCTTTAGGACAACCTTTCATTATAAATAACAGGAAAATCTTCATGTCGCATCACACAACCTACCAAAAATAAATAAATAAATAAATAGCAAAGCAAAGGTTTCGTTGATCAAAAATACAAAATAATCGGATGGTTAGATAGACGACAGCTGAAAAAGAAAACCGTGACTTGCCGCGTCTTGCGGCCCCCCCCCCCCCCCAGGAACATGAAAAGCCTGTTTAAATGCTGCGTAACTCACCTCCTTGCACTGTTTTTCTTTAGACCACAAAATCACCTACAAAGCGCACAAGAATTGACTCGAGCGATGAAGAAAGCTTCAATGTTGATGTCCCAGCTCCAACACGAACACAAAGATCGCGAAGAGCTGCCCAAGTGAAGTACGCGTTTAGTGACAGTGAAGAGGAATCGAACACCAAAGAAAATGAAAGTAATGACTGGGTTATGTCAGATGAGGTCCAAGATAGTGATTACGAGCTATGAGGGATTCATTGGTCCTGCTACACGAGTCATTGCTGTCCTTGTCTTTTTCAAAATAGATATTTGTATATATTGACCAGATAATCTTTTTACAGCATCGGATTGGCTATAAAACAAGGCTGAAAGTGAATGGCCGTGTAAAAATTACGACACCATTTAAATACACTCTAATGCTGGCCATATGAGGTTTTCAAGAGGGGGAAATTGATGTATAAAATCGTACAGGAATTTGGGTATATATACAATTTGACCTCAATTGTCAACTCGTTCAAATTAAACCCTTGTTGACATAACTATTGAAAAATATTCTGTTACTATTGATTATATGGTCCTTGGTTTATTGTATTGTAAATATGGGTCATTTCTATGTTGTTTTTTAGAGATATTAAAAAAATCTTTACGTAAGAGTTTTTTTTCTTTGTATGTGAGCAGATTTTGTATTGACTAAGATACCTTAGTACCGTGACATATACGGGCGTGCAACCTAGTCAAAGTGGAACCACCTTCCACCATAGTTAATGGAGCGGAATGGTTTGGAAACTCCATAGAACAAAGCTATTGTTTTGCGTTTGATGTTGAACCTTACCACCACGTGATACTGACCCTGCACAATGAACCAAAGCAAGTATGGCTGAAAATAACTCATTTCTTTATTATTTCCATGTATGAACACTTTGAAAGTGAAAACTTTCATATACGATGACCACGCAGATACAGTTAAGTTACTAGATGATAAATAAGAAAGCATGAAAAAAGGCAATTTCCTTTTCAATAAACAATTTGTATTAATCGTATAGGATTAACAAATAATAAGTATTTTATAACGTTTTTTAGGGTTAAAAACTTCTATATTCCCGAATACTATGAACAAACGGAGCAACGTTTTCTTCTCTGTGCACTGCCAACGTCATATAAAGATGAACAAAGACAGAACAATAGGTTTCCCAACCATTCCGCTTCATTAACTATGCTTCCACCTTCTGCAGACCGCCGCAAGTTTCTAGGGGAATGCTAATAATGAGGAATGCTTTGTCGTCAACAAAGATGGCGGCTATGACGTAATATGAAATAATAATAATGGGAGTTTCTTATAAAGCGCATTTCAAATATCTTACTGCCTTACATTTATGACCAGTGGAGGACTTTACGGGCTGCATATTAAAGGCCCTGTTACGCGTTGAAAACTTTAGCAGAAACTTGCTTGCAACGGCGTTGCGAGACAAGTTTCACGGGGTCGTTACACGGCGCAATTTTGGCTTTGTGAAGCTTTCGTCGCGAGAATAGAACTGCTTTCTACTCGTGCAACCGAAACTTGTGTCGGGAACAAATTTCAGAACGAAAATGCGCCGTGCCCCCGTGAAACTTGTCTCGCAAACGCCGTTGAAAGCAAGTTTCAGCTAAAATACTCTACTCTGACACGAATAATTCAACAGGTTCTTTTATGTCCCCCATTTTACTGTAGGTTAGGAAGGATTGGGAGACAGGGCCTAGTACCTTCTCAGTTTTTTTAAGACCCTGGGTGTTGGTCCAGCCGAGACTTTAACCCCGACCTCCCGCACAACAGACCGACGCTCTTACCAACTTAGCTAAACCGGGTGCCGTGAACCCCAAGAATCAAACAGTATCAAGGACAAGAATCTTGTTTGGACCTTAACTAATGCCATTAGAGTTATAACCCATACGACTGAACAAAGCAATGGGTGGCATCATTAAGGATGGTCAAAGATAACCAAAACAATTTTCAGTTTGAAAAACAATATTGCCGGTGCGTAAAGAAAGCGAATGATATTTGTTTTCAAGATTTGGCAAGATCAACATGAGTACGAATCAAACACGTCTGGAGAATCCAAGTAGTTTTTTAACGGAATTCGTAAATAACCAGTTTTCATCACCCAAAATGCAAATAAAGACCTGCTGATACAAAAGAAACTTGAATTATGATCGTAAATTACAATAAAAGAGTGCGATAAAAGAAACTACAGGTTTTATTCATTTATTTATTTCTCCCTTTTTCTTAATTTTATCCTTATTTTAAAAAAAGCAATCGTTATTTTCGTACAAAGCTTCTTTAACATAACAATCTAGTAATAATCTGCGAGCAGTCTAAGATCCATTTATCACTCCATGTCCTTTGTTTTCTTTCTCAAAAAGCTCCTTAATCACAGGTGAGACTTTATTCATTCGTTTCTTTCTTTTCTTCTACTGACAAATGCTTGAAACCTTGCACTCTTCCCAAGCAACTCTTGGACTTGCAAAGACAATCAAAAACCTCTGCCATCGAATACTCCGTGAGCGTATAATCGAATGTTATGGCTTCACCCTTTTTGATATCTCGTGAAGCCACAAGATGCCAAGCCAACTCCTCGTCGTCTTTCAGGACTTTCGCTTTGCTTGCTTTATGCTGGCCGTATGCAAAATGAGCATTCGGCGAACAAGAATGATTGGCGAACCTGGACATTCCTGGGCAATCGATGTGTTTGTTGATGCCAATTTGCACAGTGTATCTGGTAACCTCACTTCCAACTTTCAGCCAAAAGTCTCCCAAGAATGTTCCTCTTGGGATGTCATGCTTTGCAGTTAAACTGGAAAAATTCTTTTCGATTTCCACAACTTCAACACAGTCAGCATCCATCTTTGATATACTGTGAACGAGAATAACAACCATCAATATGGGTACAGTACAAGCAAGCAAGCATTTTTTCTGATGAAATACGAAGCGCTTCGTTTTGTATTTCATGAGGCAATCAAAAACCATGCGAAGTCTTAGATGTCTTTCCACTGTTTTCATTGCTACGCGCTGATCAAGACAACAGTCGCGACAGGGAAATCGGATACATTATGTGATGATGGCTTACGAAGAATTCTCCAACATTCTTACCTTTATCGAACCTTTTCCAGTTCAACTCGTGTTCTTTGCGTTTGTTTGTTTGTTTGTTTGTTTGAAATCTGCATCCATGGATACGGCGTGGTGTGCGCGTGCGCCAGCGCAACTTTGTTAGACGTGCTGTTCAATCGACTGCAACAATGTTAATTAGCTTCGATGACCGCGAAACAAAAGAAATGTTGGTTTTTGTTGTGAATGATAACAATGTTGCGTGCGTTTGCACAAGCCTTTACTGCGCGGTTTTCTATATTCTGCGAACTCCAGACATTTCAACGAGGAAAGGAAAAACTCGAGTTGCGATTTTCGAGTGACACATTTTCCGAGTTACGCGCTCGGACACACCCATGTTTTGGGAGCCACACACTCATTTTGACATCTTTGCGCAACTCGATGACAAACAGCGTTGAAATCAAACTCAAGTTACGTAACTCGAACCCAACAGATTGAACCTTATTTTTCGAGTTACGTGTTATTTCCGTAACTCGATTCTAAAAGTGGACAAATATTTTTTTCGAGACTGATTTTATAAGTCGAGTTGGTTGTCTCGCTCAACTATTCATTTATACTTTTTATTCCTATTTCTTCATTTTGTATATATTGTCTATATTAACTCGCATTTAATACGTTCTTTCCGAATAAATCATACAGATACAGTCAATGTCATTAACGTTGT